TCACAAGATTACAATTTTCTCTGTATTTTGTTGCAATCTCTTTTGTACTTTTTTTCGTAGAGTGCCGATAGAATATTTTCTGTTTTGTTGAACAGAGCACTGTAATATGCAGTCACAATAACTGATAGATCTTGGTATGTGAAGATGAATGTAGAATAGGTCTAGTGGTCCAAGACAGTGTGCGAGATATGTGTACGTGTTGATACAAATAAGCTGAAGATTTATGATACGGTGACAATAAATCTTTTCCACAAAATAAAAAATTTTGTTTTGTTTTCTTTATTCTTTCTTTTTTTTAACTTGTAGTATTTGCTTTAGTATAACTTGTTCTGAAGACCAGTGGTCCTTGAGTCTTGCATGCACAGAACATAAGTTCCATGTTAAATAATGGTGAATACAGCAGCAAGAATAACTGACTCTGTTATTCCTAGAACGCTACAAAGGAGTCCAAAAAATTGACACAATTCTCGCAAATAAGAGAGCTACCACGTGGTGGTCAATTAAGTATCCATAGTAATATTGTCAATGTAGTTGCTAATGTAAATAGCACAATTGTGAATTTACCACAGAAGCAATACCCTTTAAATTGCAGTCATGTTCAGTTTGAAAATATTCGTCCTTATGAAGTGTTAGAGGCTCTGCATTATTTAGTGAGCAAGACTAAATGTTCAAATCAGTGGGTATAACTGATACCTGGTTACATAACGCTCTTTATTAAAGTGGTGTTTCGGGCAGTGTTGTGAATGATGTCACTAATAATGAGAATACTGTGTCAGTTTGTTTCATTATCTGAAAAACCACTAATTGGATTTTGATGAAATTTTGTACATATGGCAAATGCCCAACCTGATCAGCTTTTGGTTGAATTCTGCACGTTAATTGGCCATTTTTTTTCACCTGTTTCTAAAGAAACGCCCAACAGATTTCAATGGAATTTGATACCTTGGTATTCAGGGCTGATCCACTGGTAGTTAGTTTTGGGTTGAAATCTGCATATGAATTAATTTGCACATGCAAAGAATAAACAGATTTGGTCCATGGGGTTCTGGACAGACTTGAGACCAAATAATAAGTGCTGGTTTGAACGGCGACTTGCAAGTTGTTTTGAAACCTGTGGGATGCACAAAAAAGAAAGTATATATTCAGGATGTCATATTTTGTGGATTTTCGTACGTCGAGAATTTCCCCATCGCTTTCCCAGCTTGCCTACACTACGACAACCGAGGTGGCTCACAACATGGTGTTTTATAAAACCATTTTTACAATTCATTTACATTTTATAATCCTTTTTTAAACACCATTTTCGGTTCTGGAATCTATTTTTAAACCCACTTTCGTTTCTGGGTTCTGTTTTTATTTTAAAAACCAGTTTAAATCCATTTTCATTTCAAAATCTGTTTTTTATTTTCATTTTTCGTTTTAAAATCCATTTTCATTTTTAAAATCCATTTTTGTTTTCATATTCCAATTTCATTTTAAAAATCCATTTTCGATTTTCAAATTCCATTTTCTTTTTGACCTGTGACCCCGCCCTCTGACCTCATACCATATGACTAGGAATCTGGCATTTTTTTTATTTCCACCAGTGACGTTTTCATGATAAGGCTTATTTACGTAATTTCTTCTTCAGACTATAATCTATTTGGCCGTGGTTCCACGGCGTTTTTGGATGCATATAGGGTTCTTAGCTTCATCTGTCGGCTTACGCTGTGGCGTGGAATGCCTGTACATACACAGATGGCGCTGCCTTGTATACCTACAGTACCTTATCCGGTACGATAACACAGCAGACCCACAGCTATAACTTGAGAGCTCCAAGGTTGATTAGAACATAGAGCTCTTTTTTTTAGCTCCATGATTAGAATAAGTTATTGCCGTGGTTTTGCTGCGTTTTGGTACCAGGTAGGGTATTGTCGGTAAACAAGGCAACGTCGTCTGTGGACAAGCCTGACCACAAATGCATTTGACGCCAAAGTGTAAGCCGACCGAATTAGCCAAGAACCCTTGATGGACTAAAATCGCCGCGGAACCACGGCTAAAGTTATAGCCTGAAGAAGAACTTGCGTAAAGAATTCTTACCATGGAAACATCACTGGTGAAAATAAAAAAAAAACTATCAGGTAAAGTTGAAATGATATACAAAACCGGGATACACAAATCACAAATCGAAATGAGAATCTTTGTAAAAACGGTTAAAGTTAATGCGATAGGCAGGGAAACAACAGCGATTTTTATGTAAATTCTGATGGAAAATTTGCTTCAACGTGAAAAATACGTATATACCTATACTTCAAATGTCAACAAAAACGTGATAATAGATTTTAAAAATAAAAACGGATTAGTAAAAACAAAAACGGATTTAAAAAAAAATAGATTTTAAAAATGAAAACGGATTTTAAAAACGAAAATAATTTTGAAAATAAAAAACAGATTTTAGAAATGGATTTAAAAAACGAAAGCGGA